AGATGGTATTTATCAAAATTTGAGGGTGTATGTGAGGTCTACTGATTTACCTATCGATGGGATGCCCGTATATAGGGATTTTGTGGTCAATCTATATTATTCATCAGGTAAGGGACCCACTGGGTTTGTAATATATTCGATGCCACAATATATGTAGCAAACTCTCAACAAATACTTTCAACACTGTCCCAACAAGCCATTAGCCGCACATCACAAGGAAGATGTTCCCAATGTAGGGATGCAGTGGCGTGGTCCGGTGGGAGTGTAGCGAGATGGTAGCAGATCCCTACTATACCCATTTTGTATTGTTGGTTTTTGGTAAAACCGTAGCAATATACTCCATTTTGTATTGTTGGTTTTTGGTAAATTATAAGTTCAAATTTTTAATTTTATCTATAAAAATCGATATTTTGCACATGTGTTAAGGCATTTTGAGACATTATTTTTTCTATGAATAGAATTATAGAAGATGGGGAGAGAAACCTTTGAGATTGCTTTTGAGGAGTTTGTTTCTGATGCACTTTTATCCATTGGTGTAAATGCTAGCGAATAGGCTAAGTTTAAGTTATGTTTGATTTTCTTTTGTTTGTGAGAAGTAAAATAAAAAGTAAATACAAAATTTATATGAAAGAGAATTGAGGTAAGAAGATGGTTATTTGTTTGAAAGTGAGATAAGAAGCAAGATGCTGTGGTTCCACTTTATAGGAGAGAGAATTGGTGTAGGGAGAAAGTGGTGCAAATTCTACATTAGTTTTTGATATGCAAAATTTACAGTATTTGTGAGTGCAAATTAGGGTCGTAACTTGGGTGGGGTGAGCATTCAGTTTATTTGCTTAAACATTGAACCAAATAAACTGGATTTTTTAAAAACAAAATTAAAACAAATGAAAATTGAACTGAAACTGAATTATAGGAAAACTAAAATGATTGAAACCAAAATTTTAAATTCAGTTTTTGGTCATTTCAGTTAAAATCGAATTTCATTATAATATTACATTATATATTATATAGCAAAATTCGGTTAACTTGATTTTTCAATCAAATTTCTAATTCTTAAAACCAAAACCAAAGCCACAATTTTCAAAAATCCCCCCCCCCCAGGCAAGAAGTACAATTTTCATATATATATATAAGAGAACATAGTTACAAACAAACAAATGTAAAACCAAATGAAAACAAAATTTGTATCCAATTCAGATTTGCACTACAAGCAAATAGAACCATAGGTTCCTCTTTTGTACCTGGTTAATTTACAGGAGAGAAAATTGAGGTAGGAGCAAGGATGCACTGCTAGTGAGTTAGGAGTGTAAATGGTAATCCAATTGTCCAGATTCAAATTCAAATTCAATGGCATTATAATTGTTTAATTTTTACCAATATATAATATTGATCATTTTTAGTTACTTTATTTATACCATTCCATACAACTGTAATCTGCATTTGATTCAAATCCAATGGATAAGATCTAATTTATATTTGAATATAAGCAATCAAATTTGGATCTACCTATAATTGTTTTGATTCGACCCATTTGCATCCCTACTTTTGATTAGCCAAATATACATTCTTCTGATTAACATCGGCCAAGGCCCACTCCTCAGTAGCATATTGCACAACTAATACGGGCTATTATATTATCACGTTGCAAGGGTTTTGTAGGCTTAAAATTACACCATTTAAAAATGACAGTGATGACTGATGACAATGAGAGAAATAATGGGCCATTTTGAACCCAAACAAATTTGCCTCGTGAAAGATTCTTCCATTGTTCMGCCTTATTTGCTATATGACATGTTTTTTTTATGTACTTGGGAGAATATATTGAATGTAAAACAAATGAAATGATATAAAATCACAAGTGTTCACCGAGTAATTTAGCTCAGTTTTAAAAGATATACATACAAAATAATATAAAATATAAGGTTTTACATGCTACATATTTATATTTATAGGCTTTCAAATTAAGCCTAAGAAAATTTACTTTTAAGCAAAATTAAGTCTGTGTTTGGATCATGGGATAATGTGTTGGGGTACTCGGGACGTTAAATGATACATGAAGTGGCATTATTAATAACCCCACGGTGTAGATGAATTGGTTGCATGGCGTTCATCCCACAGTTGAAGTGTGGGGTCAAATATGTGTAGTTGCTTATTCTTTGTGGTATGGTCAGTGGGCATCATCTCGTTCGTTAAAACTGTGCTGGTACCATGCCGCCTTTCTGGTATAATAGATTTTCCCTTACAATGGGCAGCTGTTGTATTGCGTGGGCCACCATGCCCCTGTCCACACCTAATGTCCCCATTAACCTTTGACCCACAAATGTGATTTATTCAATATTGAAGTGGTTGAACTAAATGTCTTTGCTGTTCTAATACCCCCTTAAAAGAAAAAAATAAAATAAAAAAGCTGTTTGGCCTTTGACAAATAAAACTATTAAGGATGTGTTTGATTGTAGTGCAATTTTATTTGTATTAGTATAAATGTATAGGAGTGCAAATGAAAACAAAATGAAAATTCTCCTTTAATTTTATTTTGGGTTTACTTTATTCTGCTTTTTGTCATAATTTATTTCATTTATGAAATCAAATAAAATAAGTTAAAATTTGAAACAAGAATATGTTAGAATTTACACTAAAATTATTTGCACTACCACAATTTCGCATCAGTACAAATTTATTTGCATTGCAATCAAATACAGCCTAAGGTGTTATTTGCAAGAGTAAGTAGATATTTCGACAGTCCAGCAAATCAAAAGACCCTATGTCTTTAAAGATGAAAGATTATATGAAAAGTATAATACTTTGATATGCAACTTCAGAACAGTTTAGAAAGCTGTAAGAGGTTCAAGAAGAATAAAAGCTTCACGATTTTGGGTCATTTTGGTCTATTTGATTTTGGGTGCTCGTCTTCAGGTTTTTATATTTTATCATTTCCAAGCAATCTACATTATATGGAGGAAAGAGGGTGGTTCATAGTCCTCTCTCATAACAACAACAACAAAATGGTTCAATTGGATCGATTACTAGGTTCCTTATTATTGGGGGAGGGGGGCTAATGGCTCATGGACTAAATGGACCCAAAACCCCCTAATGGGCTGGCAGGTCGTCCAGTCATGCCTATGTTATTAACAATGGATTGAAACTTCTATACTTTGTAAGAAAGTCAATTGAGTAAAAGTGGATCAATTTATATTTGAATCCAACCAATATTAGTGCATTTAAATCGGGATGGCAATTTCTATCCTATCCTATCCAATAATGTGTTTTTTTTTGCTTGAATGATGGATTTTGGGGTGGGTATGAATTTTAGGATTCTATAACTCATACAAGTATAGATAGGGTACGATATTAGGCTAAATATTACCCTCTCCAATCTGCATATTGATGAAAATTTTGTTGTTTATTTATTTTGTTTTATTTATTTATTGCTTATATATGAAAAGAAATTAGATGTGAATTCTAAATCCAACCTGTCCCTACCCTTGAATGTGGGGAGGGTTTTGCGATTTCATGTGAAGGTAGGGTTTAGATTCTCAAAATCCACCCCGCTACGGGTTTTGGGGTGGGTATGGAATGAGAGGTTTAGGGTGGTGGGTAGGGTCTAGAATTTAGACAACCATCTCCGAACCCACTCCATTGCCATCCCTACATTTACAAAAAAAAAAAAAAAAAGATAAACAGATTGGGGAAATACTTGACTCCTACGGCACTAATGGACATGCATCCTACCACCTCCTAATTTTTACATCTAAACCTTAAATTTCTAAGCCCTAAACCCTAAAATTTATACTCTTAAACCTTTAAACCTAAACCCTAACACTAAATCTTAAACCCCTTTAACTCTAAAATTAGTACGTAAAATGAACATGCCTTTAATAGGAGTCGGAGTATGTTCCAAGGGATTGTATAAAATAGACTAGTTATGAATCCTATCTATGACTCCACTCAAACCCGAATAAAACCAGCAATCCTACAGATTAGAACTTTTTAGGTTTGGACTCGGATTTTATTGGATGTCACAACTTTCTCAATCCTCTAAACTTTATATATATTTTTTAATTTGTGAAAAAAACAAATATAAGACTACTTAAATATAAAACTGGCCCAGAATCAATCTAATATCCTTTATAAGGAAAATGATCAATCTAATCATATAGGGGATTTTGACAAAATCACATCAAATAGGCTACTTCTATAATAAAATATTTGAAGGAAGGTATAGTAATTAAACCCCATTCAACTTATATTCAGTCATTTCAGATGCTATCAAACAAAACGGTTTTCTATTTTTTGATAAACAGTATCGCAAGTCGCAACATGGTTGGRTGACCAAAAGGGCCCCATATGTTCCCCTCCCCACGCTGTATGTCCAGCCCCATTTCCATATGTCCAAGATATGTCCTTTTTAGTCAATTTTTTTAACTTAAAAAGCTAAAACTTCAACCTAACACCGTCCAAACAATCTCTGGCGTTAGTGGCGTGTATGGTATCCAATTCAAAAAGTTCTGGATGTGAACGACAGTCTAAAATGGTCGTGTCATTTCTCCATGTGGATTGTGGAAGAAATTGATGGGCTTGGCCCATCTTGAGGTGGAACCTATTCCATACTCACCCTAAAATTTAGGCCTACCCAACCCATCGATTGACACGTGTTTTATGCGTAGAGGATCTGGTTCGATCATCATATAAAGTATCAATCATGCTACAGCACATCATCTACAAATATACGAGTCCAATACATCTTGCTGACGTGGCATATCGTGACTAGACCACTACCACTACCACAAAAGTCTGGGAAGTGGGAAGTCATAATTATCGACGGGTAGAATCGTAATAATCACTCAAAGCAAGGGTACGTACCAAACTCATTAGCCGTTGGACAAGCAAAGCCAAACAAACAGAAGGGCTCTCCATTTTCCCTCTTTTTATTTTTATTAATTATTAAATATATATTTATTATTAATGATTTTGTATTTTTTTCCGCCATTTCTATTTCTTGCTCAAGGGAAAAGAGCAGGTAGGAAGTGAAAATTCTCGTGAAGTGCGATTTTTCACCGCTTTTGTTTCTCTCTCTCTCAACCTTCTTCTCGTGCCCTAACCTTTTTTTTGTTGACTCCAACTCCAGCTTCATCATCTCTCTCTCGTCACCATCCCTCCTTCAAATCCTAGATTTCCATCCTACTTTTCTGTGCCTCTCACAGCATTTTGGTTTTTCTCATTCTTCTTTTATCTACATTTTTCTCCTCTTGTGGGCAGATAATCGATTTCGATTCAGCGTAAATCGGTGGTTTTGAACTCGTTTCAGGTAGGCTGCTGCTTTCTTTCCTTTCTTCTTCTTCTTCTTTTCTTACTTTTCTCTCTCTCTCTCTCTTTTGTTTTCTTGATCTGCTGTTAAACATTTTTCTGTCTAAACTCGTTAGCTTTGGGTTTTCTTTTTCCGGTCTGAGCTTCTCGTATTCTTTTGGTGTTTATTGAACTTGGCTATCATTTTCTGTCTGTTATTATTTCCTCGATTGATTTTTAAGTTTTTTGAGTTCTATCAAGTTGTTCTTATTCATGTAGCGTGGGGTTATCACGAGGCTGCCGCTGATGTCGCTGCCGTGGTTTTTTTTCCTGTTTTTTGTTTTGTTGCTTTGTCTTTTGAAATCGTAATCTTTGTGGTTTTTCAACTCTTTGGCTTGAGTCGATCTATAGGAGTTGTAAGTGTTTTGCATGCATTGGTGGCCAAGTTCGAGCTTTATCATCAGCTTACTAGTAGTACTAAAATTATTTCCTGTAATTTGTTGCACGGTGGGTGAAATCCTTTGCATTTGAAGTCAACTGGAAACAGATTGTCTCATTTTGCTTCATATTCACGGTTTTTCCTGGAAAACAATTGACAATTGTTCTTATTTTAGCTTTGCGTTTCTCTGTAGTTTGTATTTAGATGCTGGTTTCTGGCTTTTAGTTTTGATTGAATCTTACATTCGAATTAGCTCAGCTTGGGAGCTTTACCGGATGCTGATTCGTGTTAAGAATGTAATTGTTTTTTAACGTGTAAGTGAATCTCGGGTCACTACTAAAACTTGTTTTTACAAAATGAAATGCCTCTGCTGTTTAATAAAAGATTGGATTTTTATGCTTATGTTAGTCGGTTGATCATTGACAGGCTTTGCATGGTATGTACTGAGTTAAAACTGCAAGGGCCTTTCAGATCCTGGATTCGGTATGATTGAAGACAACCTGAGGACAAATGCATTTTGTTTTTCGACTTCGGTGCTCCCTTATCTTCAAAGAGCTTCATTAGAGATGGGCTAGTATGAACTTGCAAGACTATAATCCACCGTTTTGGTGTTCCTTTACTTTGTCCTGATGGAGTCACCTCGACTGATGGCTCTGTCTCCTGGTACTTGCGAAATTGTTGAATCTGTAGAAGAGCCAGATTCTGTTCAATGCTCCAGAGGAGGTAACCCATCAAGCTCTGGATTGATAATCAATGAAAAGGCTGGAAATAAACCCATGTTGAATAGTAGGTGCAATTATTCTGTGGAGGATGATCTTAATCGAATTTTTGAGGCAATTGACCTTAGAGCCTCATCAAAGGGTTTGGGTCTGTCGCTTCAAAAAGGTACAGGTCCTTCACATAGGAATGCCTTAAAAAAACCAGTTAGAGTTGGTGTGACTAGAGCATCAGGAATTGGAATTTCAGAGCCTGTGTCTTTGAAACAAGCACTAAGGGGCTTATGCCTTTCTCAGAAAGCAGAATTGGCTGCTATGAAGCGGTTAACTAACCCAGCATCTGTGACTTCTGAAGCTGGAACTATCAAGAAGTTGTACAGAGCAGTTGTAGTTGAGGCTTGTGAATCTGGTTTTCCCTTGGATGAAGGAAAAGGGAGTTTGGTAGAAATTTCTCTTGTACCAGAGAAAAGTGCATTGCATTCCTCCGAGAAGGTAACTGAACTGCTGCAAAAGCTGAGGACAAAAGCATTGGACAAAACTGCACATGGTTCACCTCGATCTGTAGTTGCAACCACGGCAAAAGTAACAGTGAGCCAAATATTGGCCCAAGATGAGACTGTTCCTGAACCAATGGAAGTTGGAGATAGAACTTCAAAGAAAGAGATGGATCAGAAAGAAAAGGTAAAAACAATACCTTCTTTATCCAGCTCTAGTACTGGTAATAAAGTTTCAGCATTGGATGAGATTCTTCCTGTCTCAAAAAAGGTTGGTAGCAAATTGTCAACCCCAGAGCTGAGGCAGAAGGACAAACAAAAACCAGATTCTTCTTTATCTAGTTCTAGTGCTGGGAGTAAAATAAGCAACTCCAATAGCACCAGTCCACGTTTAGTCATCAAGCCAGTCTTCAGGAATAGGAACTTTGTTAGGAAGAAAGGGAAACAAGTTACAGCTGCTTCATCCAGCACATCTGGGACATGCAATGAATTTGATAGTGACATGGGTCCTAGTACAGGTAAATTGGTTTGCAGGACTCAAAATTCTGCTCAGAAGAATGCAAGCAAAGAATCTGCTTCTCCAGTATCCAGCAGTACCAGTGTCAGCATTGAAGTCAGTTCGGGTAACATGGACTTTAGTGCAAAGAAACCAGGTTTAAGTTCAAATAGCCGTAACAGAAACAGAATTGTTGGTGCAGAAGATAATGAGAACTCAAGGTCAAGAGGGAAGGGGGAATTCTCTCAAAGTTCAAAAAGTAGCATTGGTGAGTACAGTAGTAGCACCAGCATCAGTGATGAGAGCAATTTGAGTGGTTCTAGTTGTGTAGGCAATAGGCCTCACATGTCAAAAGACATTAGATGGGAGGCCATCCGCCATGTTCAGATGCAGTATGGGAGCTTAGGGTTAAGGCACTTCAAGCTGCATAAGAGGCTTGGTTGTGGGGATATTGGGACAGTTTATCTTGCTGAGCTAATTGGTACAAACTGCCTATTTGCTTTGAAGGTTATGGATAACGAGTTTCTGGAGAGCAGGAAGAAGATGCCCAGAGCTCAAACTGAAAGAGAAATATTGCAAATGCTAGATCATCCTTTTCTACCTACTTTGTATTCTCATTTTACAACAGATAAACTCTCATGCTTAGTTATGGAGTATTGTCCAGGCGGGGATCTGCATGTTCTCCGACAGAGGCAACCAACCAGGACTTTCTCTGAACCAGCAGCCAGGTAGTTATTTGGAGTTGAACTTCCGCACCTGGCATTTTTAATTTACTTTTCAGTCTCTAGCTATATTGAATAAAATAATGTACATACATGATAACATGTGCACATCATGTTTTAATTATTTAGGTGGCTATTGTGTACAAGTACTCCATCTTTTGTCTGTAGCTCTTGCGATATGGATGAATTTGGAATTTTCTGTCCCTAAAAAACTTGAATTTTTTAAACTTTTTTTATAAGCAACAGAAAAAAGGTGTGTTTTTGCTATAAGGTGAAATTACATGTCATCCAGAAATTTGAATAGCCAGATACAAAGAAGAACAGCTACCATGCTGACTACCCCTGTTCAATTGCAGAGATGTGAAATCTACAATCAACACCTTGTGACTCCTAATTTAGTTAGGGAATCAGTATTGGCTGATCTTGGTGTCCACCTGAATGTGGCATTCAGGTTGGCAGCCATATCTCTAGCTTCTCTAACTAGAAATCTAAGTGCCAAGGTACCTCTTCCCCTGCTAAAATTTTGAAATCTTGGAATTATATTCTTAATTTGTATAAATTAGGAACTTCAGTTACCCGCTCCATATAGTTGGGATAAGGCTTCATTGAATCCTGTTTTTAAAGGCTTTGATGAATTTAGTATAATTTGGAAACTTCTATTCTCCCCCTGTTTTCCTCCTATAACAGCACTTTTCTTGGTTTATGAGGTTACAATTTGGTTGAATACCCCTTGGGAACCCTAGGTTGAAGGGCATGGACAGAGTCTTCCTAAATTCAGATGGAAGCACCTTTTGGGCTTTCAATAGTCACAGTGTATGCAATTTTCATCAAAGCTGAGATGGTCTAGAAGAATTGATTAAGGCCCATCAAGGTTAAACCATTATCTTAATGAGTGCATTTTTTTCTTATGACAAAAGTTGTAATTTTGTATTCCCCATGGGTTTTCTTTTCAGTGTCACATTTTGGTGTTTATGGAAGTTTAGAGAACCATACTAAATATCTTTTCACATCCAGGTTTTGTGGGCCCTTGGTAGCATAAAGTTGATGGTGTCTCTTCAATCCATTATCTAGAGGTCTTTGATGCTTTTAATGACCAATGTAGTATACTTTAATTCCTTGATTCTTGTGATTGTTTCTTCTTCATCCTTACCTTAAAGTGTTGAGTTATATCTGTAAAGGAATGGCATTTCTTTTCTCGAAAGCCACATCAAATCCTTCTTTTTCAAAAATTCAAGGTATTTGGTTCAGAGACTGCAAACAGAAGATTATGCCTGACATATGATTTAGACATGGGGAGTTTTCTTTTGTGCTCTTAAAGGGGGTTTAAGGGCAACCTTCGTTGTATTAATCAATCACCTGGGTGGTGGAGTGAAGTTCAAGAAGATTTTTATTTATTTATTTGCTTGGACTGCAAAGGGATGGTAGAGTTGGTAATATCTGAAGGGTATTAAGGGTTAAGCTTTAAGGTAGGATTAGTGAATTGCTGTGAGCTGGACAAGGATTTATCTAGGAAAAACTAGTGTTCCAGGAGATATTTTGGTTCCCGGGGTCAATATTAAGAATTCCGTTGTGAAAGGCTGCGAGCGTGCAGCAGAACAAAAAGGTGCTGAAAATGTTCTCCCTCTGGATGAAGTTTCTCAAGTTATTTAAAAGGTGGATTTAAAATTGGTGGTTGAAAAAGAAGTTCTAGTTGGCAAGAAGCTGGGGCTGTTCTTTTTTAGGTGGTGAAAAGTTTGCAAGAAAAGCATTTTTGGAATTAGAATAAAGAGAGAAAGTTAGAGGTTCTGAAACAAACAATAAAAAATAGAATCAATCTAACATCTTGGAGTATGTGAACTTGTGATATAATGGGTAAAAGGACATGATGGTTTCTGGAAGTAATGATGGTTGTGGGTTTGTTGTTAGAGTTGTGCAAGAATTTTAATTTGGGTTGGTGAGGGTTGAAAGTTGAGAAGGGTTTGAGTTATGTTTGAAGGTCAGGAAGGCAAGTGGCTTTGGCTGTTTTAAGATGTAAGTTCTGTTTTTCTTTATTCAAAATTTCCTATGGGTAAATGCTATTCTTAGAAGCTGTGTAATGGCATTTTTTGTTGAAGCTGGTGGTTTGTTTTTTCCCCATTTTTGTATTTCGTTTAGAGTGCTAATTAGGTTTCTTTGGTGCTTGTCTTTAGAGTCTTTCTCATGGCTTTGGATCTGTAGGATCTGACATTTCTGTTCCATTTCTTTGGTGTTTTTAATCATCAGATCCTGTTTCCCTTTTTATTTTTATCTTTAGTGAAATTTTCCTTAAAAAGTTTCATAAAGTTTGCTGGAGTGCTAGCACTGCACATGCTGGTGAAGTTAAATGAAGGATGCAAAAAATGATTTAATTAAGAAAAGGAATCCATGCATGCTTCTCTCATGAATGATTAGCCATGACAAGCTCTTTTCTGCTATTCTGGTAATTTATTCTATAATTGTGTTTTGATAATCTCTCCTTCAAAGCTAATTCTCCTTGATGATTTCTGCAGGTTCTATGTTGCCGAAGTTCTCCTTGCATTGGAGTATCTACACATGCTTGGGGTTATATACCGAGATCTTAAACCAGAAAACATTCTGGTTCGAGAAGATGGTCATATCATGCTCTCAGATTTCGATTTGTCATTGAGATGTGCAGTGAATCCTACTCTTCTTACATCCTCGTCATCAATCATGGAGCCCACAAAAAACTTTTCAGGTCCATGTGCAGAATCCCCTTGTATAGATCCTTTCTGTCTCCAGCCATCCTGGGCGCAGGTTTCATGCTTTTCACCGAGGCTTATATCTGCTACGGCGAAGACCCGGAAACTAAAATCCGACTTGGCAGCACAGGTGAGCCCTCTGCCACAGCTTGTGGCAGAGCCAACCACTGCCCGGTCCAACTCCTTTGTTGGGACCCATGAGTACTTAGCTCCTGAGATCATCAAAGGAGAGGGTCATGGGAGTGCTGTGGATTGGTGGACATTTGGGATCTTTCTTTACGAGCTCATATTTGGTAAAACACCCTTCAAGGGCCTGGGAAATGAGGAGACTTTAGCGAATGTGGTGATACAGAGCCTCAAGTTTCCTGAAAGCCCAATGGTCAGTTTTCAGGCAAAAGATCTGATCAGAGGGCTGTTGGTAAAGGATCCAGAGAATCGGTTGGGGTCAGAGAGAGGGGCGGCAGAGATTAAGCAACATCCATTCTTTGAGGGCCTGAACTGGGCATTAATACGGTGTGCCATCCCACCGGAGCTGCCAAAGTTTTGTGATCTCGGAGTTCCATTTATGCTTTCCCAGGAGAGTAAACGTTTGGAGTTCAAGTCTACAGGAGGGCATCTGGAGTTCGAACTGTTCTAGCATGTGATCTCTCTTCTGTGGGGACCTGTTTAATTTGCAGGGTCCCCATTAAAATGCTCCTTGTTGTAATTGATAAATGATAATGTAGCTCATACCTCAGTGTAAATGTAGCCTCACAGAATTGGCAGGAAGCATTGCGTGCCGTGTATGATAAAAGTTAGGCATAGAAGGGGGGAAATTTTTAAAAGGAAGCGATACATCTTTTTCCTTCTCAGTTTTGAGTCCTGAGTGCTTGCAGAAACGCAATGAATAGATTTTGCCACCCTCCACTCTCCTGCTTCTAAATGCGCTGACAGTTATTTAGAAAACTGAGTTTTGGCTTGGACTGATTAATACTCAATGGGTATTTTTTAGGGCCTGCAGTCATTTCATCAATTTGTGTAATTCATGTTGATCTTTTAGGCTGAATTTGGAAGCAATGTAAATCAATGTAGGCGTTTGGAATGAGCGTGTAATTATTATCGATGTAAAATTTCACTTCGGTTCAGTTTTATGTATGTTTGGATGAAGTGGAGTTTTATGTCGATAATCGATGTAAAATCTCATTGGTTTTAAAGTTTTACATCAATAATCAATGTAAAAATTACATCAATTTTATCGATATAAAACTTTACTCTTCCACCCATCGCTATTTTCAAAAAGCAACGGTCATTTTCATGGTTTAGTGTAAAACGCTATTGGTGTATATTTACACTGATGATGTTTTACATTGATTCCAAACACAGCCTGGTACCCAAAGGAGAAACACTTTGAGTCCGTGTTGTGTGCACCCATGGGAAGGACATAACGTTAACGGTCAAACACCCACCTAGACAACCACTGACGATCATACCGTGTTGAGTCCGAACCACATTTTGCATTTCCCTTGGATACTTTTCCTTCCTCCACGGAACCCTACCCACACACTGACGATCATACCATAGTGAGTGACCTGAACCAGCGGCCATTGGTGGCGACAGCGAGAGCTCCAGTGGTACATTTCTGGTCGCCTCTTCCTCCTTTTTCTTCTTCTTATAAGGGGCTTCTTGTGTTAACAGAAATCACCCACCTAGACAACCACCGACGACCATACTCAGTCGAGATATCTAATTGCATGGGTCGACTCCGCCGATATAAGGGATCTATGAGATCGATCTGCCTGATACATTCTTTAGTTCATACAATGAAGATCTCAGATCTCTGTGAAGGCCAAGCTAGAGCAGGGCACTTGAGAAGGGAAAAAGAGACTGAGGTAATTAAACTTAAGTTCATAGTTGATACAAGTAAAATTGGAAATACAAGGAGTTAATCGGCAAATCTGCTAGCAACATTTATCGGTTCTTCTCAAAGGAAAATCATGTCCCCCTTTATCTTGGGTAATGGGACCCTTGGTTTCTATTGTTCAAGCAGGAAAATTGCTCTGAACATAGAGGGATCCAGATCCATATAACCAGTTCATCAGTTGGTTATAATGGATAAATGAAAAAAAAAGAGTATATTTAGTTGTGAAATTAGTTACCAAACCAACGAATTAAATCTTTAAATTAAGAAATTTCTCCCTTGGTCTGTGTTTTTGTCAATGTAGAAGAGGGCATGAAACAAATCATTTTCTCTGGAAATACAATTCAATGATTCAGAGTGAAATTGTTTTTTTWAAAAATAAAAATAAAAATCCAGTTAGTTTGACAAATGAGCACTGATATTGCCAAATACTTTTGCTATCTGGTCCAAATTACATACGAGTCTTCAGACACCTAATACGACATTCCTCAAGTTTTTGTTGCATATTTTAGCTTCAAATCATTTGCTCTTCTACCGGCCAAAATGATAGTATTTGGGCAAATCACCCAAACTCCTTTCTGCAACACACTCATCATTTGAAGACAACCTCGTCTTCTGCCTTTTCTCGGTTAAATAGAACAGTTATAATATCTCAAGCTATAGATTGATAGTCTGCAGCTCGTGCTTAGTTGTCTGTTAAAGGATGAAGTATTCAAACTTGTAAAATCAAATCACGATTGCAGGTGTTGGGAGCACAACTGCCATGTGTCGATATTTAAAGCTGATCAGTGTTTATTGCGACAACCCAGAACCTAGGTGGGTGGTTTTTGTTGATATAAGAAGCCCCTTGTAATAATAATAATAAACGTACCGCCGGAGCTCCCGCTGTTGCCATCGATGGCCGTTGGTACGAGTCACTCGCCGTGATACGATCGCCGGTGTATGGGTAGGGTTCGGTGGAGGGAAGAAAAACATCAGGGAAAATGCAAAATGTGATTTGGGCTTCCTTTTATTTAACTTTTGTCATTTAGTGGCTGATTTAAGGTCGGTTGAACCGCTGAACCCGTGTTAACAAGTATTTGACCGTTAACATTATGCGTCCTTCCCATGATCGACGTGATGAAACGTGATTGGTGGATTCATTCGTCCAGTGGGTGCAGTCGTGTAGAAGGCCAAACAATTTATGCATGCAGACACATTAACAGAAAAGTGTAGGTCCTATCAAATTTGGATCTGATTTGACTTGGGAGTTGGGCCCAGTTTCTAAAGTCATAGTCATTGGCTCTTAGCGTTCATTCGGTCCAACTTTGAATTTGGGTTATAGGTAGGGTGAATTTGGGCGGGCCCAACCCAAATTGTATTGGGCCTGGTTGATAAAATGGGGTTTGACTATCCTGAGCCCGAAGTTTGTCTCTTAGGGTTGGCCCTGGGTTGACTCCAACCAAGGTTCAAAATATCGATACGTCTGATACGTCGGTAGGGGTGTATCAAGTGTTTCGATACTTGTTTTTTATTCTATTTATTTATTTTTAATTTTTTTTTTTCAAAACTGGTTCAGGGGAGCAGGTCTAAGACCCCTCCATCCCCTAAACCGGTCAGACCTCCGATACACCCACTGTAGGGGCGTATCGAAAGGATCTCGGAACAATACGCATCGGCCAATACGGGCCAATACGTAACGATACTTTGAACCTTGAGTCCAACCAGATCCAATCCATCCAAGTTGCACCGCTAAGGATGTTAATGGGTCATGACGCAGCCCCATGCCAAACCGATTTATTCATGCTCAACATCGAAACATTTAAGCTATGTTTGGTTTGAAGGAAAAAGGTAGGGAAAGGAAGGAAAACATATATAAACTTTGTATAGATTTTCCTACCTTTCCCTTCCTTTCCCTACCTTTTCTTTCAAACCAAACACAGCCTATGGAAAAATGCCTTAAAAACTTTTTACAAATTAAAAGCCTGAATTTTTTTTGCTACAATTTAGAAACATGAAATTGTATAGGCTCAATATCATCTGTTTTTTTTTTGGTACGAGCAGGTGCATCATATGAAGCTTTATAAAGTTCCCTTTCTACCTTCATAATTGATCCACCAAAGTGCAGTTAATCCGGACCTCCTTTTTAGAACCCTGAGGCTCAGTTTGGAAGGAGTATAAATGCAAATTTGTAGAGTGTAAACCCTTGTATTTTTGTATTATTTTGTATGTATTTGTACTCTACAAATTTGCATTTATACTCCTTCCAAACTGAGCCTAAAGAGTTTTGGTTTATAGGCAGAATTTGTTTTTCTCTTCTTGTTTTTATTTCGTACTAAGAAGGCACAGCCACAAAATATCAGAAGGAATAACCACATAAAATTCCTTTCACTCCATAATTGTACCAGTTGATTGTGATCGCCAAACTCTCAACCCTAGGATCCATGGACCCTCGACATGTAGGCCATTATGTCAGTCTCTCATATTTTCTGTCTACTTTCTTTGAAATGAAAGATGAACCTCTTTTAGGGAACCACAAAATCTATATCTATACTACTTTAAAAAGTACGAATGACCTCAAGAATATTTTTGAATTTTTTAAGGACAATATTTACCCCTCTATATTTAAGTTTAATGATAAAAAATGAGGGCAAATAGGATAATCGATTCTTGATATTAAATGAGTTGAAAAGAGGTAATTTAAAGATATTCAATTCATTCAATTCTCTCTCATTAAATCCAATATTTAAGTTATTAACTTGCATTCATGTTCATTGAATCATATATTTAAGTCATTTTTATTTCTTCTCATCATTAAGTTCTATTAATTAAATCCATACTTAATAAATTAATAATTCCAATAACATAAACGCTTATATACTTTTAAAATTTACCTAGAAAAATTAGTTTTTTCATCTAAGTGGTGGTAAGAAATTAAATCATTTTGGGTCAAATGGGTTAATCCATGTTGCCACGATTGAATAATAAAATTAAAAAAATGAAAATAATATTTTCCTATTCTCTCTCATTAAATCATATATTTAAGATATATTTTTCTCATCATTAAATTCTTGTAATTAAATCCACAATATTAATTGTAATAGTATAAAAATAAATATTTTGAAAAGTAATTTGAAAACAAAACTATTTTCTTCCCTTCCGGTGGTGGGCAAGCAATTTGACAATTTGGGGTCAAATGGATTAATAAATAATGTCATAATTAAATAATAAAAAATTAAAATAAATAACTATGAAATGTAAGAAGTATTTTTATTAATGATGAAAATGGAATGCCAAATTCAAAATCTACATAGAAATTAAATGATGTCATAGTCAAATAATAAAATTTTTAATAATAGAAAATACAAAGAATCATAAAAATAAAAAAAAAATAGAGAAATTTTTTGTCACATATCTAATGTTATATATTTATAAAAAATAAAATATTGGGTACATCTCTAATATTGTACATTCATTATATTGAACAAAAATAAGTTTTATACATATGAAATAATTTTATCAATGATGGAAATGTAATACAAAATTTAATGTCAACCTAGAAATGAAACTAATTGTGCGTGATCTGGATGCTCCTAGCTGGAAGATGACCTAGACCTTACTTGCGTGGCGAGCTAGACCAAGTTGCAAGATGGAAGATCAGAGAACTTGGGGTGGCTAACCCGGCGAGGTTGCCGTGGGTCTCACAAAACGGCTCCGGGATCCTTGACTTACGTAGTTGGGATCCGTTCCGCTTTAGAAGGAGAGAAGCGTATCAATCAATGAAGCTTATCATTACCTTTCGATCCGAGTGGGGAGAGGATAAGGCTTGTTGTTACGCAGCGAGATCCTAGGAGGTTCAAAGTCCATTGAGAAGCTTCTAAAGTTGATTATGTGTCACTTCGTTACTTGGGTACCGAAGTGGCTTTGGTACTGAGACGCCTGAACACCCGAGCTCCCGAACTACTACAAGGCTCTCCTTGGTGAGTTGTCGTCCTACTGGCAGGTCGTGTCCACGTGTCCTTCACTTACTAGGTCAGGCCAAATCACCCCTCATCAAAAACAATTTTTATTTTTAGATGGTGGGTTAGTGGTTTGAGTAAAATGATACCATAGACAAACAAAATTAAGTGTGATAAATAAAAAATATTTTATATAATATAAATGAAATATATAATTTAAAGGGAAAATTATAGTCAAAGTCAATTGTACATTTAAAGTTAGGTTGCAAGTTGGTCTAGAAACCAACAAAACTCTAACAACCACTTCTATATTTCAAATTATAAAAACCCCCGTCATGTCATTAGAGGCTTATGTGGTCGTTGTCAACATGGGACTCTTATTCCATATTGGACACAATAAAAAAAAAAACTATATCGAAAATAGGTTTTTAGTTTCTCTTCCACTCCCTCTATCTCTTGATCTCCCTCCCTTCTCTCTCACTCTCACAGTCATCTCTCGATCTCTCGCTCCCTTTGTCTTTCCCACTCTCTCAGCTTCGATCTATAACCAAATCATCAAAACCCCTCTCTCTATTGTTCTCTCTTAATCTTTTTCATTCTTTCCCTCACTCTCCCTCTCAATCAATATCTCATAGCCGTTGAGCAAATAAAAATGACTATGAGTGACAGAATGTGAGGGAGAGAGAGAGAGAGAGAGAGAGAGAGAGACTAAAAACCTTTTTTTTTTGTTTTCCAATCACCCAACATTAAATACAATTTTAGTATAAGCTTTTTGTTGTGTCTAATGTGGATTAAGAGTCCCATGTTGGCAATAGCCACATAACCCTTCGATGACATGGCGAGGGTTTTTATAATTTGAAATGTAGACTCAGTTGTTAGAGTTTTGTTGTATTATGGACCAACTTGTAGCCTAATTTTAAATGTACAATCGGCTCCGACTATAATTTTTCCTAATTTAAAACTAATCCAAAAGCAATGCTATTTTCTTATCTAGATGGTGGGTCAATGATCCAATTTTTCAAAGAAATGCATGATGTCATAATTGAATAATAAATATTTAAGTTTATTTTTGATCATATTGTTACTTTTGTTAATTTTCAATTTCTATATTAACTATGAAATATCTGAAATTTAAATAATTAATATGAAAAAAAATTCTCACGTGCAACGCATGTGCTTAATTACTAGTTACTTAAAACTTACCTCTTTTAGGGGTCTAGAATGAGAGTAAGAATGGTTCAACTGTTTGGTTGGGCAGAATTAGAATCTAGTTCTCATTCTTGATGGAATGATATCTCCTATTTGAGAGAATGACCATTTTCTCCCATCTCTTTGGAATAAGATATATTCCAACTGATTCCAATTCTCATGTGGAGCAAACGGGCTGAAGAAATAGATCATTTTGATTCTAATTCTAATTTCAACAGATTTTGATTCTAATTCTKATTCCGATAATGAATCAAATGGACCTTTAGACACAGTTCGAAGTATCAATTATTATAATAGTGTATCTATTTTTAGAGTCTTGGGAACATAAATTATAGAGAGTTTGAGCATTTTAGTAGGTTTAAACATTAATAAATCTGCTATAATATCTCTCTGTTAAAACATCTTAGTAATTCTTTGAACCATGAACACATATTTTTGTTTATTATACCGTCAGATATCCATCACATGTGTAACAGAACGCCATCAGATTTGTTTAAAATTTTTACAATTCAAAATTACATTGTTGTTGCTTATTATACCGTCGGGTCATGATACCCCTTATACATAGAGGGTATTATTATAATTTCACAAAATTTTTAAGTTTTAACCCGGGTGAGTGTATCGTCCCTTTCAGAAAATTATTATTATAATTTCATTCATAGAAAGTATACATACAATTTTAAGGTATGCCTATTTTAAACATAGGGAAAATCTATGATATGAAAAGAGTTTTGACCAATTAAAATCATTCATGAATTTTGATAAATAACACCTAATTCACTACTGATTCCAATTGATTGGTCAGATGTTTTTCAGATATCATATCTTTTTCATATCATAGTCGAACATTTAACATAAATATTCATAACAATTGAATGGCAATTTATATTGATCAACTAAAAAAATGTTTTATGTACAAACAACAATGGTACCAAATACAACCTAACTTGCCATGATTCATTCTCACCAAATAAACTAATTAGTTAAGATTTATATTGAACGCAAGAGAAAAAAAGGATGCATTAAATAGAACAAAATTTGACAGCTGGCAAGAAATAAAAACATGAATTAGGTAGGTTGACAATAGAAAACTAGGTAGCTTGAGATTTCTATGTATGGAATCAATTAGTAAGGGTGAAAACAGACTGAATCATGATCTGAACCCGATCCTATTTTGTCGAATTTGGATCTTTGGATTGGATAATAGGATCCGATCAGAAATCAGATCAAATTCGGGTCACTCTCTATCCGATCCGAGAAGATAAGATCCGCTATATATATATGATGAAAATAGTTGAAAAGATATTTGTATTTTTTTGTTTTTCTTTGTTTAAATTGTTATATTTTAATTTTCTTTTAATAGTTTATTAATTTAAAAAATTAAACTGAATAGGATAAAATCCGAATATCCAACTTCTTCATTATATTAGAATTCAAATCCATATTTATGAGATCCGATCAGATCTTCAGATCAACTCTCAACATTACCGGGCCAGACTCGGATATACCCACATCCGAATCCGATCCGATCCCGTTTGCATCCCTATCATTTAGCATCATCAACACATATACTCAGCTTTAGTTTCACTGATCAACCCTCATTGCCAACTTCTGTATCAATCGTACAGTATAAATATAAGGATTTACACTCTACATATTTATATTTTTATACTCCTCCCAAATTGAGTCTAAATTGCAAGCGGCAAAAACACCCATACCCATACAGATATTCGGTACCTAGATCAGAGGGCTTTCATCACATATTTGAGGTCTGTAATCTGTATACATACCTTCACCGAGATAAAGAAGTTTCTGATGTGAAGAAGTCACCTAGTGATGAAGAATTCTTTGCAGCTTTGATTCATTGGGTCTACTCATGACCCCTAAAATTCATTTTCTGAAATGAGCCCACTAGCCCAGTGAAGGTCATATCCTTCGGGAACTGAATGATATAGAGGATGAGAGGGTGAAGGTCTTGAAAGAAAAAAGTTGGATATTAGAAATCCAAGGAAGAAGTAGAAGATGGTTTCCTTTCCACTAGAAGAGGAAGGAAATCATGCTTCCATCGCAGCAACAAGGAAGGATTCTTATGAAGAAGAAGAAGAAGAAGATCAACATACACAGATTCCATTTCACTAGCAGCAGAGCAAGAGGCCCTGGCTCTTAAATTTTTTACTTCTGCACTCATAATTTAAAAGTAAAATAGTCTTTCTTTTTCTGTTGCCAAAGGCTTAGTTTGGAAGGATACAAAATATAAGATTTTGTGCTTTACATATTTGTATTTGTACTCCTTCCAAATGGAGTCTAAATTCTGGATTTGGAGAGAAAACATTTTGCTTTTGAGCCAGGATATTGGAAATTACTTTTTCCCCCTTAATTTTGCTTTCTAGGTTGATTTTTTAAACTTAGTATTGGGCCCAGGCTGACTTGCGATTTGCTAGGCCTGATATGGGCATGGCCCAGGCCGAGTCTGGAAACAAAACCAAGGCCCAAGCCCGGAAATTTGCGGGCTGGGCCAAACCGGGCCGGGTATGACTGATGAGATGATTACTCTTCTGCAACTATCAACCGTATATGCCAATATGGTTCTGGTATTCCCAATCCCAAACCAACGATGATCTTCCGACAAAATCATCTTCTCTCTCTATCTCGACCGCTGAAATTTCTACAACACGGCCATACAATTTGACCTCCAGTGCTGATTCTATCTTTGGAGTCGAGTCGTAGAGCAAAACTCAGACATCTCGGACTCAGTTGCCAGTTGACATGAAGGGCGTGCACAGTTGCAGAGTAGCAACTATGAGTACGCTACATTTACAAATTTGCCATCACTCCGCTTCTCTCCCGATTCGTTTACATTTCTCGTTTAGTCTTCCCGGGCTGAAACACCACCAATCACCTCTTCTTGGTTTCTCTCTTCCTCCAAGTCTACGTCGCAGCAGTGTCTCCTCCTCCTTTACCAACTCTCGTATCGTTGGACCTGTAAAAGCCTCAGCAATGGTGTCTACACCTTCGACAGAGACCAAAGCCTTCTCTGTTCTCTTTGTCTGTCTTGGCAATATCTGTAGAAGCCCAGCTGCGGAGGGTGTCTTCAGAGATATCGTCAAGAAACGGGGAATCGATTCCAAGTTCAACATCGACTCTGCTGGAACGATCAACTACCATGAAGTTCCTCCTCTTCATCATAATCATCCTACTTTTGTAGCTTTATGATTGCTTAATTAATTGTTCGATTGATTGTTATTGTTGTTGTTTGAAGGGCAACCTAGCGGATCCTCGGATGCGGTCAGCCTCTAAAAGGCGCGGGATTGAGATAATGTCCATCTCAAGGCCGATACGGCCGTCTGATTTCAGAGACTTCGACCTCATCCTTGCTATGGACAAGCAAAATAGAGGTGAGGAACCGAGTTTTACAAGAATTTGATTATTTTTCTTTCTAGTCGTGTGGCGGCGAAATCCAAGTGATTGGGCATTCGATCGAATTGAGTATTGGCAATTCTGATTGTTTTTTTTTTTCTCCATGTACGCAGAGGATATACTGGAGGCATTTAATCGGTGGAAATTCAAGGAACCACTTCCAGACAATGCCCATAAGAAGGTTAGCAGAAGGGGGATTATTTTAGTAGTTTCATAGTTTGGATCGATTGATCTTGTTCTCTTTGATGCTGCGACTAAATGAATCTTTCTGAAGATTGAAAGTGTTCGATCGGGTTAGCAAACTCGCTAATATATATATTTTTTCTTCTGTTGTTTCACGCTCGTGCAGGTTAGATTGATGTGCTCTTACTGTAAGAAGCATGATGAAACCGAAGTTCCAGATCCTTACTACGGGGGACCTCAAGGTTTTGAGAAGGTAAACCAGTAACTTGTCCTTGGATAACATTTAGATATCAATCAATTAAGTATTAGGTTATTTCAATCAATTAAAAAGATGCAACTAGATAAAGGGCTAGTTATGTTTTGCCCTTCTACAGTTGTAGCAGCAGCGCCCTCACAAATGTAATAAATTGAGTAGTTACTAAACTCTTATCCAGTCCTAGTGAACCACTCTAATGATGAACCAATTAACCTTAACCTCAGTTGACTGCTCAAGATCATTCACCCACTTCACCAGCTCTGTTACAAGTACTAGAGAAGAGAAACAAGGTTAGGAGTCCTAGTGACAAAAGTTCTTAAGAGGATGAATCAAAAAGGTCAATCAGGGGAAGTGCGTTCCTTCTAAATTGCTTGTATCAGGGCAAAGCTAAACAGTAACTGCCACTCTGCAAGTAATAAAAAATGATTGGCATCCTTCTCATGCCTCCTATACACAACATATCGGCTTTCCATATGAAATCCTAGGCTTTTTAGATGATTAATTGTCAAAATATGAAGTCAATCAAGGAAAGCAAATGCCTCCACTCTGGGAGGAACCAAGTTGCCCCACAGAACTGTAGTTAGGTTCTTCTCTAGTCTATTCCAGCATTGTTGTTGAAGGTGACTCCCATGTGAACGTTAGGAGGTATAGGCCCTTGGACAGTCATATACTTAGGGAGACCAGATCTTTGGCCCAAATGTTGAACCTCTCATTCAGATTGGTCATAAGATCAGCAAACAATCTCACAAATTCTCTTGCTAGAGAAGGGGCATATTGTGCTGATCTGTGTTGGAGGGCTTGACATCTGTGTCCACATTGACCCTCCCGCTTGGGAATTAAGAATTCATTGTGTTTGTACCCTTATCTTTCTTATACCAATAGAACTCTCTGAACTGATATGTTATTGATTTTTTTAGAAAAAAAATAAACTGATAGTAGAGTAGGCATACTTTCCAAACTCTCAAATTCAAAATTTTAGTTTATTCTAGGCACAGGTAGTTTGGTTAGGAAAATGATAAATGAGAAAGTTTCTCTTACTCTGGTAAGTAGTATGGAGTGCCCTTTGGGAGGGCTGAAGTGCAGCAGATTCTGGCCTCCCGAAGTCATTTGAAGGGATGCTTCCTTCAGCCTCTTTGAATAGCTAATCCATACTGCTTCAAAGTAGCTGAACCAGCTTAGCTTAATCTTCAGCTCAGCCCTCCTAAACAGGCCCGAAATGTCTGTGTCCGAAGATAACCAGCATTCAGATATCAACTCATGCTTAAAGAGAGTAGGAATCACAGTGCTTAACTTCAGATTCCATGCAGACATGCATATTGATTTCGTTATCTGGACAAATTTGTGTTTTTGCAACAAAAAAGACTGGGGATGAATGTAAATATCAGGGCTAGAAGAGATTGATTTAGGGATGTCAAAGCCTTAGAGGTGGCAACCATAGAGTATCACTGTTGGCAGTTGACAAATTCAAATGGAATGGAAAGTGACTTAAAACACTTGTGTGAACACACAGAATAGGGAGTAAAGTAGCATGATTAGATGTCTCCCACCTTGGCCTCTTAAAAGCTATGGAGAAACACAAATATATCCTCACCGATCAATTTCAAAGACAATGTGGTCTAGCTGATGACGAAAGACAAATATTCCCTCAAAAGCTTTAAATTGTAACTAGAATAGTCTGGAACTTGCTTTTGATCCAAAATATTTGTTTGATGCTGTGCTACATCGGTAATTCATCATGCTTTTGCTATTTTCCCTATTAAGACCAGGAGCGAGCCCAAGTAATGCCAACATCTTGTCACCATTATTTCTCATCAGCCAATTATTCAAAAGTTCTGAAATTGGTTACAACCCCATAGAGACTCAACTAAGGAGTTCCATATCAAATGAAAAACTACAATTGTTTATGATTGCCCATTTTTCCAAATTTAGTTTGTGGAATATAGGATCCCATTACGGTTATTTGGATGCAAGGAACCACCTCAGGGTGCTCATGTCTGATTTAACCTAGTTTTAATGATTTATGATTGCAAAGAATTTTAATACACAAATTTATAAATTTGTTCTGATCATCTTTCAGTTTATTTTAGTCCTTGAACATTATTTTGTGATATTGTAGATTATCAAACAAATAACTTACATTTCATGGGGTTGTGGCAGGTATTGGATTTACTCGAAGATGCTTGTGAATCATTATTAGACAGTATCCTGGCAGAGAACAGTCATATATCGGCTTCATAGCTCTGACCAAAAATTTAAGAGAGCCATTACCGGCGGTTGGTTTCGGCTATGTAGGGCCATGGGAAGGATAGACTGGTATGGACCCAAAGAACTTGTGTATCCAATTCTAACTTGGGAGTCTCAATACCGGTTTGGCCTATTGGAACTCTTTGACGTTTTGAGTACACTAATTTGGACCACTTGAAAGCCGTGAGCTGTGGTTTATATTTTATTAACTCAAAATGGAAATCCAACTTTGGACTATTTTTTTAAATATTCAATGATTCATGTTGCAGACTTTGATGTAGAGAAAGAATGAACAACTGGAAAGCTACAAACTATAATTTCATGTTTGAACTGAAGTCTTCATACAACCCTAGAGCAAAACTTTAGTGAATTGTACTATTGCAAACCTCTTAAATACATTTTTGGTTTTTTTTTTGGGCCATGTGCACTTCACACGATAGAGCAAAATGTATGAAAGTGAAAAGGAGAATTATAGTAAGTAATAAAATATAAACCAAAAATGTCACTGTGAAATATCTGAGCAAAGAATTAGACCTTGTTTAATTGTTTATTCACTAAAATAAACCAACAGATCTTTAAAGTGCCAACAAAAATAGCGTAGGGGCTAAATACATAAGGCTGCGTTTGGTAGTGGTGTAAAATTGAACCAGGGTAAACTTTACACCCCGGTTCGATTTTGCATACATTTGATAAACATGTAATTTTACACCCAAAATCGGTGTAAAATTACATTTTATCTTTTAATTACATTGATAATCTATGTAATAAATACATCGGAATTTTTTATGTATTTATTACATCGCTCGCTCTCTCTCTCTTCTCCTTCCCTCTTCCGAGAACGAGAACATGACCTGCGACCAGAACGAGAACAGAGAGGCGGTTGTAACACCCGGCAAGGACTGCAACACCCAACAAGAACGAGAACGAGAACATGACCTGCGACCAGAACGAGAACAGAGAGGCGGTTGTAACACCCGGCAAGGACTGCAACACCCAACAAGAACGAGAACAGAGAGGTGCTCACGTACGAGAGCCTCTCCTGTTGCAACACCCAGCCACCAGTTTATGGGTCTGATACGCCGCTCACTACCGCTCGCAGTGCTCTGTTTCTTGGCCGACCGGCAAGGACTGCAATCTCTCGGTTGCAGTGGACTTTTACCTCGATTTCCTTGTGTTTATCGTCGTTTCGTTTACAGCACCATCCACAACCATTGTTTCCACTCCCCCTCTCTCTCTTCCCCTCTCCATCTTCTTCTTCTCTCCCACTTTCTGTTCAGCAGCTTGTTGGCTTCTTTGTTCTCTCCCCCTTCCTTCTTCTTCTTCTTCTTCGTTGTCATCCTCGTACATTCTAACCGTTACACCAGGTGAGTGCAAAAGATAACCGGTGGTCTTCCAAACAAACATCAGTGTAAAACTTTTACATGACCAGTTCATCTTTTACACTTATCTGATGGGCCATTTTTCAAGTACATCGGTGTAAGTTTGTATTTACACCTCTACCAAACGCAGCCTAAATGTCAAAGTGCATGGGGCATTCCTACTACCCTTAGGAGTTAGTATTAGAAGGCAACTACACCAATATAGCATTGTTATATGGTAAATTTAATTTGAGTTCTTAATTAAAAATTAAACCAAATTTAATTTGTAATCAACAACTTATTTCATCTAAAAAATGTGATGCACACCATTGAAAGTATTTATAATGAATTTTTTATTTAAATTAGAAAATTGAATCACATTAATATGAACCCCACCTCTTTTGAAGTTGGTGTACGCATGTGTGTGTGTTTGATAGGCATTCTATAGAAATCAACAATTTTTTAAAATGGATTTAAATTCTCACCTTTTTCCAAAAATAGGTAAGCATGTACGAAAAAAAGCGCTTCAATATGAAAGTGGATAAACCTTTGTGTTTGAAAGCAAAATCAATCCATTTCTTAGACATGCATATAAAGAAAATGCTTCAATATGAGAGTGGATAAACCTTTGTGTTTGAAAGCAAAATCAATCCATTTCTAAGACATGTATAATTGCATATGAAGAAAATGCTTCAATCTGAAAGTGGGTAAACTTTTATTTAAAAGCAAAGGCAAAGAGCAATGCATGTGTACTAAGAAAACACTTCAATCTTGTTTGGGGTGTTTTCAGAGAGGCTAATCAGGTTGCGGATTGATTGGCCAACGGGGCTCAAGATAGTTTGGGGTGTTTGTCTTTAAATCTATGTAATCTTCTAAGTGCTTTGATTTCTATTGATTTCTATTGGGTGACTTGTGGGAACGTGCTACCCAGGCTTGTGTAACACCTTCTGGATTTATCCCAAAAAAAAAAAAAAAAACACTTCAATCTGAAAGTAGATACTTTTCTTAAAAATATAAAATGCCACTTATTTGAAGAAAAAGCTCTTTAATCTTAAGGCTTTATTCGTCATTCATTAACCCATATTCTGATAATTACAAAATAGAATAACTCCCATAAAAAAGAGGCCATTAACTGTAATAAGTATTGATACCTACATTGAGGTATATCACCATCATCCTAAGCTTGTCCCAACTATTATGGGATCGGCTACAGGAATCCTGTTTCTTAAGAAATGAATTAAACATATCATACAAACTACATACAGAGAGATTCTGTCTGGATGGAATCTCTTTAATCTTGAGAGAGCGCACGAACGAGATTCTGGATGGAATTTGGTCAGGGGTTCAATACCTGCCAAGAAATAATAAAAATACAAAGAAATGAATTAAACATATAATACAAACTAAATTAGCGCATGTAAGAAGAAAGGATCATTGGAGATCAAAATCCAGACCCTTTGCTGGATGCCATTGATGAGAGCGTAATTACTCTGCATCTAAGGCCCTGGACAATTGTGGACTCTATGACATCAAACTTCATACTATATAGCTCTGTTTCATCCCTTTTCGACCACGTTTCCTTTTTGGGTTGGCACCAATTATGCAAGATAAGGCATTGACGAGCTCTTGATCCTCTTCATTTATTAGAATCTTTGCCGCACTAGGGTTGGCAAGGAGGAGCTTTGCCACAAGATATCCTGCAATTGACCAGGTTTGGAACAGGCGTGCCTGTTTGCCAATGAATCTTGCACTTTTGGTATCATAGTATTCCGGCCACCTATCCTTTGATATCCGCTTCTCTGCAACCTCAACAGCTTTTGCAGCAATGTCTGATCTATTCATCTTTATGCACGCCACTGTGAGCTGTAACAAGTTTCATGTTATTTCACATAAGAATTTTCCCTCTCCTAAATAAAATACTACATTAATTCCAAATGATAATGTCAAATAGTCAAAAAGAGAAAATTAAACATAGATACCGTGGTGTCCTCATATTCCTTTCATATGGAAGAGTGAGTGGATACTCTTTTTTGTTTTATTTATTTATTTTTTATTCAAGGGTGGATACCCTTATGGACATCTAGAATGTCAATGCAAGAACCAGACCATTAATCAGATTCTTTCCATACGGTTAGATTAGACACAGAAAACAACTATGAAAAATCTAAAATAATGGCTAGTGTAGTTCGATCAGGTAGTTTCTTTCCATTGGAGAATTCCTTCATGGTTCTGTAAAGGGTAAGTCCCATCCCTTCAAATATGCGGTATATGATATCTAGGTCCCATTCACTTTTCAGTAAGTTACTTACCCAAGGAAATGCACTTAACCAGGTAAGTGTTCCCAGGAAAGACTTACCCGGGTAAGTGCATTTACTCATGCTCTTTTATTTCCCATGTAAATAAGGCAATGACCATTTTAGCCATAAAAATCCATTATTACAAGGGACATTTTTGTCCCATTCAAGTGTTGGTCAAGGGGCATTTTTGATTCCCATTGACCAACTTTCCCCCCTCTCAAAATCCAGAAAAAAGAACGCCCCCTAAGGTTATCTGTATAGAAAGTCTGAGCTTTTAGATATCCAGACAGTAAGATATAAGTTAAAGTTTCATRATAGATAGTAACATGATTCATATAATGTCTACTAAAGGACATTTTTGGGTGTCTTTGAAAGCATACAATACTTTTGGTTCATCAACTTCTATAGCCACAATACAGCTTCAATAAACACCAAAAACTTAATTCTCATTCAATCTGACAATTTAAGACTCAGATGTCATAAGAAAATGTTACATATGATTAACAGTCTCTAGAAGATCCTGTTTCTGTCATACTCCATAGTTAATAGGTGGTGCTTTCCCAAAATAAAGAACTAAATATTTGGGATGGATGTAGTGAAAACAGATGTAATAACACTATAAGCAAGATTTATCAGAAGAGGAAATGTTAGCCATGCATTTACAAAAATACGGTTAGCATTCATTTTTATAACAATGAGAAAAAGACAAAAAGAGTTTTGAGAAAACACCGCAACAATGTCCAAGTGTCTCACTATACAAATACATCATTTGCTACATCCTGTACAAAGATATCAAGCTAGGCCAGATATCCGAGCCAAACCAGACTCCATTAATATCTTCAAATTCAGGATGCACCATCCAGCCCGAAACACACCCACCACATTATCTCCCCCTTGACACCAAGGAACCTCCACTCAACCCTTTCAGTCTCCTTTATATCTCCTCCTTCACCAAGGAACCACCACACTCCATGAGCTTCCTCCAGTTCCTCTCATAATTCAACAACCCTTTTTACTCTCTTTATATCTCCCTCTTGACACCAAGGAACCCCATGCTCTATGAGATTCCTCCAATTCCTCCCATAATTCAACCCTTTCACTCTCCTTATTTGTAGTATAGATAATAGAAAGAATCTAAATTCCACCCCCATCTCCAATATTAAAACTAGCCACAAGAAAATCTGCCTTCAGGCCCCCACCCCAAACTTTAATAATGACTCTAGGATCCCAATACATCACGGTTCCTCATTGACCAACCTTGTGACTTGTTTAGGAACATCCAGCACATAGACCATATAAAAAATGTTACAAACTGAAGGGGCTAGAAGACCTACGGGAAAGACCAAAAGGGACATGCACTAGAGTGGTAAGAAATGTTTAAGGTCTCATAATTTAACAATAGAAATGGCACTGAACAGAATGGATTGGTGGAATAGGATACATGTAAACCCCATATAGTTGAGACAAGGCTTGGATGATGATGATGATGATGTTATTACCCTCACCATGATGCAGACTTGTTTCCAGGAAGGGTCTCAGATCATATTTTTTCAAGGGAGTTACCATTCTAACGAAGGGACACAATCCCTGTTGTCCATCCCAACTCCCCCCTCCCTTTTCAATTCTATTTTTCTTGTTTCTGCATGTGTCTGTATATCATGTGCATGTTCATTCTAATCAAATTCATAATTAGGAAACTAGAGAACAGTTTGACTGACCTGCCAGAGCAAAGTTGGCCAGGAACCTGCATTGTGGTAGGACCAAGGCCTGCATCAGAAGTTCAGAATCAAGTCAACAATGGAACAACATGCCAAATTCAAAAAAATAGGTGAATATTGCAACCATCAAGCAGAGGATATTACGTGTTCTTAGGATCACTGCCAGTGATAATCCTCCATTCCTGACCTTCAAGAGCAGGATAGCATATCTTGAATGGCATATGCCCAACCAAATCTGTCCATTTGGCTTCAATGAGATCCAATATGGCATGTGATTGATCCATTGTTGCAAGACTGCTAACTATAGACCACAAATTTCCAAGAGCAAAAAAACGGAAATCCATGTGAGCGGGCTGCAAATTTCCAATTAAATAACCTCCTTTATTGGGTATCCATTCTACCAGCCAAGGAGGAATCTGATCAGGATAGATATTGAATTTATTGACTGCATCATATGAATATTCTTCTGTTTTGTAGCGGTAGATCTCATTGAGTTTTCTCATATCCACCCAATAATAATTCCTGATATGGAATGATAATGCAAGCAGGCGGTTGTTTAGTGCTCGCATCAAGTCAGCTGATGCATCTTCTGGAGCAAGCATCTCTCTTGCACAAAGTAGTGCCGAATAAAATAATGCCTGCAAGAACATGCAAAATGTGAACATAATAGTTCTCTAGCATGTAGCAAGGACGGTCCAATTCAGTAAAGTAAATATGGGAACATACAGGTTCCCGTATCCGTATGTGCATCTTCTCATGGAATTCTTTCCATGAGAGAATTCCTTCATGGTTCTGTAAATGGGAAGTTCCATCCCTCTAAATGTGTGGTATACTCTATACAAGGCTACCTGTATGGAGTGCCTAGCTGCCAGGAACTTTTAGATGCCTAAAATGAGTAAGATAGAAGTTACAGTTCAGTTTCATGACACTAGAAAAATTCAGAAGATGTTTACCAAGGACATTTTTGGTTTTCTTTGAAAGCATATAAAAGACTTTTGGTCCATCAACTTCATTAGTTGCAAATGTTTCAATTAAAAAAACTTGATTCTCATTCAAAACAATCAATACCTAAAAAGAAAAAAGAAATTCAATCTAACAGTTTCTGACTCAGGTATCATAAGAAATATTATATATGATTAACACAATTATATCTTACAAACTAACAATTTCTAACTCAAGATTGTTTTTTTCCAAGGGACTGTACATCAAGGCACACTTATATCTCACAAACAGTATGCCAGTTCTTATCAATAAGCTAAAAATGGCTTTCATTTAAACTCTATTCTCTGGCCTATTATCAATTCCTGCTTGATTACAGTATTATCAAAGAATTCAAAAAGGTCCTTAAAGTCTTTCTTTAATGCTTTGTCAAAAAATGTTAATAATTCATCAGATTTGTTTTCATGTTCTTAATTTTGTAAACAGCTTGGGTCTTAGTTAATTTAAACCATATACGCATAGCAGAATTAACTTTATGCAAGTTAATATTCCAAGTAGATGTGGGGCATTAATCAACACTTTTTTTTCCTTTGCATAGGTGGGGGTGTTAAAAAGACAAGTTATTCTTAATTGAAATGTTTTTGTTAACTAGATGCGTTATCTAAGACAAGGCAAAAAGAAAATAAGAAATTGATCATCGATGGTTGTAATGGAAGTTAGAAAAAAAGGAGCATTTATCTACCTGAATTTCCAGAGGATGGCCATGAATTCCCATCCTTCGATCTATCATGCAAGAACCATCAGTCACTAGCAACGTTGGGAACATATCAAAACCATCTGCAAGGCATAGCTTCAAAATCATTTTAATTCCAGTTTGCACATCAATTCTCTCCTGAACCGAAAGATCTCCAGAGCATTTTCCATATGCCCGTAGCAGTATAATCCACCACAAGCCTGATATTGAAATTATTCATAAAGAAAGTCAGAAACCATCTTTTAAGAGGTGTTAATACAAGATAATCCTTCTACAGGTAAGACTGTAAGAGGAGATCTGATTAATTTACTTACCAGAATCAACTGGTGCAACACGACCAATTGCTGCCTCTCCAAAATCAGGATCCAAAACATCCTCAGTTGCAGAATCATCACCCTCAAGTGGAACAGTGCGCACCTTGAAGCTGGCAGGCATCAAGCCTTGACCAGGACTATGACAATCCATCGTTTTCTCCCAGCTCTGTCAAAATGAGAAGTGAGAAGTATTAAAATACAAATGCAAATTAACTAAGTCACATGATTTAGATCAAGTGGCCACATTGGCAATGCCAGTAATCTGGTGCTCTCCAAATCTACAAAAAGATTCAATCCTACTCTTCTTCAAGGAAAACCAGAAGTTTCAGACATTTTACAGGCCATCAATTAGCGCATTCATATCTTAAGAACTTGTGCAAATGATTTCCCAACATGCCTCGGTGTTGAACTGACTCTCCTAAATGGAAGACCTGTCCATGTCAGATGCACATTGAAGTCTGATGCTCCACAAATTATTGAGGAAACTTTTCTCCTTAAGATATAAATTCTAAACTTGGGCAAATGATTTCCCAACATGCCTAAATGTTGCACACACTCTCCTAAATAGAAGACCTGTCCATGTCAAGATACACATTGAAGTCCAATGCTCCATGGTCCTGAGGAGACTTTTATGTAACATTTCCTTTTTATCTCCTAGCTTATTTGAAATAAATGAACAACTAATGTAAAAGATGAATGCCATTTTTCTCATCAAACATTACTAAGCAACAAAGACAACATCTTTTGCAGGTATATAATGTTAGAGTTCAAAAAATACCTATTTTAAATAGTATACACTTTTCCTTGGCCGTGTCCATGAGTCAATTTTTTCTCATATTGCCAAGTTCAGACTCTTGAACATGTCAGATTCTAACTCCTAGATATGTGTCCATGTAACACTGGCATGCCCACAAAATTATATAATGACTCAGGCTATCATTCAAATTATGTTGAGGTGTAAACTTTTGGTTCACAAGAAAATATTTTTTTGTCTAAGGGTGCATCCTTTCTACTGTTAAAAACTCAGTGTTCATAGGGGCATTTTAACTGCAAAAAGGATATAACTCCTTAAAATAAGGAATGACAAATGCAGCCTAAGCTAATTTGTGCCATGATGAAGCAGACCATTAATTAAGAATCAGTTGAGTTTGAAATAGAAATAGAAACAGAAAAGCAGATTTATCTCCTTTTCTGTCCCCTAATCCATCTTTTCTTTACCTTTTATTTTCTTCTACTAAAGACACCTAATGAGGAAAAAATAGTATGAGCAAACCAGCATTATGAATTTTATAAAACACATAATACATGGTTGTAGATCTAGACCATCCAAATGTTGGGCCACTTTTTTAATTGTAACTTATAAGGAGCTAAGGACCAACACTAAACTCTACTGGCAGCACTGTTGTTGTAAATATGAGAGCTTGTCCATGTAAAGGGATTTACTTCACATGGTTGGAGCTATCCAGATTATATTAAGTTTGTTTCCTGCCCATGTTGAGGAGGTAGGTAACTATTTTGAATCAGGGTTGATGACTCAAAATACAGATTTTCATTTTTTTTCTTTTTTCTGGATTTATTACTAATGCTTCACCCTTATTAGTACAGATTTTCATTCAAGCAAGTCACAAACTCCTATAGAATATTTATCATTCAGGCAGACCCACAAATGTTGGACCATTCCCCAATCCAAGGGCCATCCAAACATTTGAACAGTCTAGATTGATGATTATGTCCCCCAATTGTGGCTTGCCCTGTGGACCAGTGGAGGTAGGGCTGCATGTTAGACTGCCCAAGTTGAAGAATTTCAACTAGATTGGGCCTGTATTCAGGCTCAGGTCCATTCAGAATTTAACAAATACCGAACCTAGCCTGACCTAAGTTGCATCCCTAAGTGTGGAGTTTGAACCGTCAGTTGGGAAATTAGGAGCATACTAAAATAAGGAAAAATAATTAGTATAGCATAAAGGGAATGCACTCAGGGTGATCAGTAGAAAGAAGCCAAGGACTAAAATAGTCTCAATACTTTCTTTGAGTGAATAAAACCTTACTAGGGCCAGTTAGCATAGGAATTTCCTAAATGAAAAAAAATAAAATAAAAGAAAGAGGATATAATTTTTATCAGACCCTCGTGAACAGATAATGTATACCAAATTCAAAAACAGACCTTAAATAGAATCACTACCAAATGGGGTTTTCACTTGGATGGCTTACCTGTAACTGAAGTGTGTGAAGGATGAAGTTCCGAACAATATCATACTCTCCCTTCAAAAGAAAAGCCATTCCAGAAGGTATGAAGTCGCGAATAAAGACTTGATCATAGTTGAGTGCATTGGAATCAGTTGGATCTTTTGCAGCAATTGTTCCAATCGGACTACCACAATAATAAACCATAGAATCATGTAGAAGATTCCATGCTTCATCCTCAAGGGAATCCACACTAACCTTATGCAAGTTCTCTTTGACTGCTTCAACAGCAGCTAACTTACCATTGGAAGTGGGATTTTTCTTTTCAATTTCCAATTGTTGGACCTCTCCAAACTCTAGAACATTTGGAGTGTTCATCACACCATTGAGTGGGTTAGGTTTCTGAACTGCGTCCAATAACCAGTTTCCATTTCCATCCTTTGCAGTTAGACCACTAATACTGTCAGCACGTTGGCATTGGCAGCATAGAGACCTTGATCGAGCAGGTAAAACATTTCCATGGGGAATAGCTCCTATCCCCTGAATCCTAGAGATCCTTGGGAAACTTTGCATCACTATTGAACAATTTAGAGATTGCATATAAACTGAACTTCTTCTCTTTCTACATTTTATATGGGATTTTGAAGGAAAATTTGAGTCTAATTTGCTACAACTTGGATCAGGGAATAAAAGTCTAGGTACAGCTGCAGACAGAACTTGCAAAACTGCTTCTGAAGTGCTAGGCGACACAAGTGACATTTTAATGTGTTGTATTTGGTCCAATATCCTACACGTTCAAACAAACCACAAGATTTAAGGTACCAAAGCAGAAACTATCAAAAAAAGCAAAAAGCAAACAAATAGACAGTCAACTATCAAAAAAAGCCCAAACTTCAATATATCAGGTTTAATTTTCCATAGACAACAAACAAGTTGTTAAATGGAGAAACGTTGAGATTGACAAGAAGGCAAATTAAGTATATATTGTGGACCTGAAAATCACAAATTTATACATAATGACAGTAATAGAAAGAACAGGACCTGTGTGATCAACACAACGTTAACTAATCGCCCGATAAAAGGATATACTTAAAATTTATAATTTAGGGTTCTACAGATCCATACATGTAACAAGTTTAACCATTCAACCATTTGATTGGCACAGAAATCAAATGTTAATTTATTCTCAGTTCTTTCTCACCGATTGCAATAAAATCCGACAAAGTTGATCGGGAATTAGGAAAACCAATCAGAATCTAACGTTCTATTAAATGTCTTCAACGACCAAAAAAAACATAAAAAAAAAAAAAACTGAAAACAGAATGAGTCTCGTACCTTGTAGAATTATTCTTTTTTATGGACCTGTGGTCGAAAAACCGAAGATGTCTAGCCAGAAATGTGGGAAAGAAGAATCTGAGAATACCGTTTTTGATGATTTTAAATAACTGGGGCTTCGCTTCTTATGACAACCGGAATCCCAATCTCCAATCCTTCTCCTCGGTTTTCCGTTTCAAATTTTCGTTACAGAAGGAAATCCTATTTCTACCGCCGATTCAATCAAATTCTATTTTCCATCGGTTAATTTGTAACGGATCAAGAAAAATATCTGATGGAGGAAGCTCCTCTTTTTCGTCGACTCGTCGTCGTTAATATCTCCGGAGTCCGGACTACCACAAGGTTGCTGACACGTCTCTCGTACGTGGAGTGGATGCCTGGATGAGCTAAGGAGGCCCACGTGAGTGGAATCGTCTGGTCACTTCTGACCATCCGATCTTTCAAGAATTTTGATCTCTTTAGGCCTGAAATTCTGGATCGGAACGAGATGGGGATCATTGGTGGATTGAGGTGGCTAAGTGGTAGGGATCTGTTACCAATAAAACACTCCCAACACTATTCTAATAGACCACTGCAGCCGCAGATTGAGAATATCTGCCTTATCCTATGTACGACTGTCATGACCATTCGGGACAATGTTGTTAGCATTTATCGGTAACATATATCCGAACTGACTTGCCCTACTAGTTACTACTTACCACCACATCTAGGGCTGTTCATGGGTCGGGTTGGGTCGATTTATTATAGTTTTTTCAATTGATTCGATCTAGTCAAGTTATCTGACATAGAAACTGAAAACGATCCAATATTAAGCAAAATCGACCTGGTCGGTTTGAGTCGGGTTGGGTCTGTTTCAGTTCTAAATTCATCCCTGTGATAAAATATTGCTAATTTTAAAAACAGACATAAATTGAACATTATTTCAGCCATCTCCAATGATAAAATTTAAATAAAAAGTTAATCACAAAAGTTGTTCATTAATCACTATTCACTAATCCAAAGTTTCTTATAACCATTCAAAAACTAGGTGGTCTAATGGGCTTTGGAACTTCATGTTTGAACTAGGAACTAAGTCGGTTCAGTTCGGGTCGGTTTCGGTTTTCTTGTGTGAAAACCAAAACTGACCCGAATCATCGATTTAGGAATTTGCACAACCCGAAACCAACCCGTACTGATGAAAACTCGACCGACTCGAATTGGGTCAGTCCGGGTTGGTCGATTTGATGGGGTTGGGCCTTCTTATGAACAGCCCTGGTCCACATCTACTCCCTTTGTGGTTTGGTTTCGGTCTACTATACTAGTATAGCCACAGCCCACAGGCCTGCCTACCACAAAAGTCATGCCATTTATATGGGCACGTAGAGCCTATTTCACCGTTGAATTGGAATAATCTGCTCCTCACTGGGTGGGTATCTCACAATAACCTCACAAGCGCCACCTCACTTCACGTCAAAGTAATCTTAGGCTGCGTTTGGCATAATTTATTCATAATTTATCTCCATATGGATAAGTAGGTTTTGCATAGTGTGGATAAAGTTTGTTTGAATGGAAAATAATGGTGGATACATGTAATTTAAAATCATTGAGATTGCATTTGACATTCCTTATTTTAAGGCTTCTTAAGGTTAAAATGCCTCTATAAACACTAGATTTTTAACCCCCAAAAGGAGATAAATCCTTAAAACAAGGAATGCCAAATGCAGCCTTATTAAGATTTAATGGTCATAAAAATTATTTTGCGTTGTCGTTGGAAGGCATTATAGATATTTTTCAAGATTTATTAAAAAAAAGTTCATGCTTATGCATTTTTGTAGGAGGGCGCCTGTTAAGGTTTAATCAGTAATTTTCTCTCAACTTTCTATTTCTTTTATTTTGTATCAAATCAAATTTAGCCTTAGAGGGCCATTTGTTGGTGCAACAATAATAACTCAGGCCGATGAGCAATTGAGCATGAGTGGTCAAGTCTGAGAATGGCCACTTTGTACAAGCAAAACCCACCTTTTAAATATACTAAAAATATTCATTTGTTAGGTGTTATTGCAGTTGTAGTTGTAGAGAACCTGAAGCTTGCTTTTTATTATGTTATTCTCAAACTATTAATGTATTTCCGATCTTTATGGCGATGTTCATGTGGATGACCAACCAAAAAGCAAAATGAAAGGCGACCCAGGCTTCTACTATCTAAATCGTAGGGCTGCAACTTGGGCCCAGCCCGACCCAACCCAAGACTTGCAAGGATTGGGCTTAGATTTTTTGGTTTTTAGGATGGGCCTATACCTAGAAGCTTGAACTTAACCCATATCTGATTGAGTTGAGGCCTCGGATACCCCAAGCCCGTTCCAATCACATTTAAGCTTAAACAAGCCCTAGACTTTTAGGCTAGTCAGTTCGGGCTTTTGTCTAAGTTGGGTCAGGGCTGAGCCCAAGATTGAAGTGTTAAGCATGGACCTCAGTTGCCCTAAACCCAAGCTTTACGGCCCAAATTCTACTCCAACGCAACCAATGGGCCATGGGACTGTGTTGAAGTCGGATTGGACTGAACTGAACATCGGGCCACCATACATACAAGATACAACTTGGGGGCTGGTACAATAGAGTCCATGACCAAAGGTACTCTAATGAAGGTCAATGTAACCTAAGAAGTGGATCAATCCATCTCCAAAGAAAGCCTAAAAGCTTACCAGTTGGGCTTTCACTGCTGCAACTTGGTACCTATTGAATTGCTGAGGTTCTGGAATCATCCAACCATTTGGGCCTAGTCGCCTAGATGCCCAATCTAGTTTTGCATAACCACAACCCAACTTTTGTTGTCTATCCGCTTCATGAATTTGGGTGATCTTGTGATTTTGAATCCTTCACAAATTTGATGGCTTAGATTTGCCACATCATCTTTCCACGTGGCAAAATATTCATATATGCAGAAACAAGCCTAAGTAACTTGTACTGGAGATGTCCAGAGTCCAAACAGATCAAGAAAAAGACTGACTAGGTTACATTTGTATGGCTGTGGTTTGATTTGAACTATGAAGAAGTACCTCTTTCATGAGTTCACGGTAGCTGGACAATGCCTTGTTTGTAGTTTGGAGATCGGCTTTTATCAAGGCAAATTTGTGCCCGCTCCATTCTAACAGCTTTTTATAACCTTACATTGGAAATATATCCTCATGAAATAAAACACACAAGTACGGAGATATTCTTGATTCAAAGCAGTAAAAACTTTCCAAATGTACTTTGCCCTGACTGAAGCCGAATTCCCCAATTAAGACATGTTTTGTTGGATATGGTTCATCCAAATGGTATGCCATCTCTTAAGATCGATGGGTGGGGGACACAGTGTGGACACAGCTTTCAATTCACGCGAGTGACGGCACAAAAATGTCTTTCTAGTAGTACTAGTACTAATATCACATGAAGAATAGATGAAGTTGTTTGATTAGAGTTTGTCTTATCAGCGTTGGAGGTAATTGCAATCTCTCTCAACTGCGAGCCAGAAGGTTCAGATCTCCACACTAGTTTTGGATCGATGACTACAGTAGTTTACCATGATGAACAATATAAGAAAGAAAAACTAGGATCGTGGAATTGTGTTTGGCTATGTATAGATTTTACTTTGTAATAAACAATATAAGAAAAATCTAAAAAGAACCAAGACTGAACAGTCTGAAGTCTGAACCAAGGTTTCTTTGGCTGTTCAGCTAAGTGAGTATTTGGTATGTTTGGTGTTTGTGTCTACTGTTATTAGGCAATTATACTTGCATCTTATTTGGTAGATTTATCAAGTATAAACGATTTTGTATTCTTTTTATCTATGATTCTGAGTGTGTTTGTTCTGTTTATATTTATGGGTGGTTGTTTATTTGTACTTTTTCATTTTAAACATTATTTATACTTTTTTACTTTAAATGTTTCTTGTTTTTGTTGTTTAGTTGGGTTTCACGTTAAATATTTTTTTATTCTCCACCTCAGATTAATACCCATTAAAGTGTAATACATCAACATTTGGTTTCAAGAAATACTGGGGCGTTAGGGGAAACAAGAATTTGGTATTTCCTCAAATGCCCCATGCACAAAAATCAAAGTGTTTTAGTTTTTATGTTTATTTGATAAATGGTGAAACCAAACAGTTATTTCATTTTGTTTCATATGCAATAAATGCCAATGGAACCAAATACATATTATGTGAACTTCACTTTTAGGCTTTGCTTTTTGAGAAGTAATTTACTTAGGTAAATGCACTTATTCGTATCAAGGTTCAAAAAATCAACACGTATTAGCCCGTATTGGCCAATATGTATTGTATTGGGAGCACCCCGATACGCCTCTAAAAAGAGTGTATTAGGGTTTTGACCGGTTCAGGGGGTGGAAGAACCTTAAACCAGCCCCCCTAAATCGGATTTGAAAAAAATTTAAAAAGTACAAAAAAAGTACTGATATTGGGCGTATTGAGTATATTGATATTTAGAATCTTGATTCGGATAAGTATTTCTCATACTCATGTTCTTTTATTAATTTCCTACTTCCTAATAATGAGACAATGTTCATTTTAGCCATAAAAAATCATTATTAAAAAAGGGCAATTTTATCCCATCCAAGTGGTACACCTAAAAAATGGGTATGGGTATTGATTACCTGAAAAAAAAATGATTTTTTTGTAAACCTACATAAATCTGAAAAATAAAAACATGAATATCTTGACCAATAAAAACCAAAATCTTATTGATTGATTTTCTCCCTTCTCAAAATCATAAAAACAAACAAACCCTTTTAAAAATTTTTGTATTTTCCTTTTGCCTAGGTGATGTTGCTGATGTATAATAAATTATAAACAATGTTGCATGGCATCATTTCATGCTTGCAACATTTTCATCCCGATTTCTAATGTATGGACGCAACGGATGTGCAAAGCATCCATACCGAACGTCCCGGGACGGTAAACAAACAGACGCGATCGAAGAGTGAAAAGATTGATTATGTCAAGGGCCTTTAGACTAGTGACAAGTGAGGGAGCAAAATTCAATGATCTTATCTTTTGACAAGGAAAATGGTTATGTTTATATTCGCCTTCATTTCAAAACTGGACATCATGAACCGAATCAAATGTCATAATAACCATGAATTATGTAGTGGTGGTGGTGGTGGCGTTGTATATGCCACTCAGGTCTTCTCGAACAAGTTCAAATGGGAGTAGTGGACATATTCCTGGTCGATTCTGTTATTAAACCAGTTGAAAAGAAAGCTAGTGATAATAGCCTCATGAGTCAAATGGGTACCTAGTGTGTTCAATCAAAAAGTTTCTAAGCGCCGGTGACAACTGAGAATGTCTTTGATACTAAACTACCTATCAATGGTGATATCTGCTTTGAACAATATTTGATGGCAA